GGACCATGGACCCTAATTCCTCCTTCAGTCCCCGCCACTTCCCTGAGGGGACCCAGAAGAGGACCACCCAGAGCGGGTGTGGCAGCTAGGAGGTGAAAAAAAAGAGGGGAGGCCGGATTGGGGAGCTGGAGGAGGTGAAGACTGAGAACTAGAGGATCAGAAAACGTTGAAGAGGGTCCAGAGAGGGGAGAGTGAGAGGAGTCTCAAGACTTGGAGAGTGTGGCAGGTTTTCAGGAGGGAGGGGCTGGAGGGGGGCACGGGAGCACAAGAGAAAGCCAGCCTGGCCCTAAGGGATCTCTGACCATTTCCATTGCGGTGACAGAACTCTAGGTCTGCAAGGATGGAGAAGTCAAAAGCGCCATGCTAGGCCCGTGGGAGCCATTGTCCAATTGGTATTGAGGCCACGCAGCGCTGCAGTAAAAGATGAGACGCTTAGGGCACATATCTGGCCGAAGCCCCAAGGGACCGAGGTTTGAGAGAAGGCATCTGCCGCGAGGGTGATAGATAAGCTTCAGTCAGAAGTTGGCTCTCAGAGAGAATTTTATTCCTATATTGGTCACACACACACTTACGTTCATACAGGCAAGCCAACCCCAAGTTCCCAAAGTACCTTTGACTGAAGACAGTGGCTGCTACGTGTCTCAGCCGGGCCTTCCACCTAGGTGGAGGTCCTCTGGCTGTGGAAGTCTCTAGGCTCGAGGGCCTGCAGTGCAGATGGTCGCGCAGGGTGTTGAACTGATAGGCCGCTTGTGCTGCTGTCAGGGAGCAGGCCTTCAGGGAGCCTTTGAAATTCATCCTGGGGGTGCAGCCCCCATCCCCCTATGTGTGTGCTGCTGGGGCAGGGCAGCTGCCTTGGGAGCTTTGGAACCAGATCCACCACAGGGCAGAGGAGGTCTGGACCCTCCTCCTTATTGTGGCAACTGAGTCGCCTTCAGGAAGGCTCAGGTTGTCTGATGGCTTTGGAAAGCCTGAGGGTCCAAGCCACAGCTCGGCCCAGAGCCACCTTGCAACCAGGCAGGTCACAGAGCGCCTTGCCCTCCATGCCCGGTGTTGCTGTGCCCCAGGTAAAGCACCGAGGCCCGCCTGCAGGCCTGTGGACCTGGGCCTGTTTCTCCTTAGGGTCACCTCCCCTTTACAGCCAGGGGACCTCAGTGTCTGCTGACCCAGGCAAGTTGGCTTCTCTGAGTTCTGCTCCAGCTGGGCAGTAAAACTCGCCCCACAGACCTGCCTGCCCCCCGCATCCTTCCACTGATGCTTGCTCTTCTGCTTTTCCACACCAGGAAGGGCCCAGCCTCACCTATTCAACCTGTGGTCCCCCGGCCAGCTGAGGCTCCCCTCTTAGACTTATAAGCCTGTGGCCACTGGCATCCAGACTCCTGCCCTCCCAGCCTCCCCAGGGTCCATATGGAGGACTCCTGGGCTTTCTGCCCACCCAGGGGGCCCCCAGTGCTCCCTCCAGCCATCCTCTCAGCTCTGCCCTCTCGGGGTAAACAGTGGTATTCCGCCTGTCTTTCTTCATCAGAAATGGTGGTGTCGCGTGGGGCCCGGGGCCCCCTACTCCCGAAGTTGAGGGTGGTCCTGGGCCAGCGGAATGAAAGACAGGGGAGCAGAGAGGAGGGAGCAGGAGGGAGCCGATCACATGTCTGGCTCACGGGTGCACTGTCTGGTGTGTGTGAGAGGCCGGTGAGCGTGCAGGGAGAGGCTCCAGCTCCTGCTCCTGCACCCCTCTCCCTGTCCCCCTCCCCTCTCATCCAGAACCCCTGCCCACACCCTCCCCTGCTTCGTCTTCCCTCCCCACCTCCCCCCCAGCGCTGCAGCCCAGGCTGCACCTGCCTTCCCAGCTCTCCCCCTTCTCTCCCTCCCCCGTTTTCTCTCTGCTTCTCTCCAGCTGCCAGCTGATCGGGTCAGGCAAGTCCATCCCATCCTGAGAGCCCCAGGGCCCCCTTCGGCCTCTAACCAGACCCCTCCTCTTCCTGGGACACCTCTCTTCCCAGGCCTGCCTGGGTGGCTGTTCTGTGACTTGGCCCCCAGCCCCCAAGCCTCCCCCTTCATCTGTGACTTTAGTCTGTTGTGGTGGTGAGCTGACACCCCAGGCATGACCTCGGTGACACTTGTGCCCCCGCTGTGGTATTGCTCCTGCCCTGCTCTATACATGTCTATAAATACACACACACACACACACATTAATGTGCACATCTCTAGTGTTGGGAACCGCTGTGCTGTGCTGTCCTTCTGAGTCTTGTGGCCCAACTACAAGCAAACGCTGTCACCCCAGCCGCCCCCGCCAACACTTGCCACCTCCGACGAGCCTCCCTGCCATTCCCGGCCTGTGCCCATTCAGCACCCCTGCCACCTTCCTGCCCCTTCCCCGAGCATGGGGGTGCTGTCCCGGCAGCTGTGTGCTTCTGGCCGCGACCAGTCCTGCTGTCTCTTGGCTGAGAATGAAACCCATTTCTGAACAATGGGGAGCAACGTGTTGTGTGCTGGCTGTGTTCTGTGGCGTTCAGGGGGAGGGGAAGTCTTAAGCATGGGTACGCAGGGGTGCCTGGGATGCCCCAGTCTTTCCCGGGCTGCCCGGGAAAGCACCTGGATGTTAGCTGGTCTTCATCTGGACCCTGCTGTGGCCACCAGGGGTAGAGTGCCAGCCTGGAGGAATCATGGGGCCTGGCTGGGGGCCCCAGAGAAACAGGGTGAGAGGAGAAATGCCTAGGCTGGAAGCCAGTACTCTGGGGTGCTGGCACCCTGCTTTCCTTCCACAGAAGTAGACCAGGTTTCCCAGTCTTGGCCCTCCCGGGGTGGCACGCAGTGGGTGGCACCTGTAGGGCCTGAGAGCTGAGCGGGTTGGATGCCCTGACAGGCAGCCGCAGTGCGCAACTCGCACCCCAAAGCCTGCCCTCTGCTGGCAGGACCCACACCCAGCGCAGCACCTGAGCCCAGATCCCAGGGCCCGACCACGTGGTGAGTTCGGTTTATTCAGAAACAAAAGTGAAACACCAGGAACCACTCCCTGGCCTTGCCTCCTTCCTCTGTCCTGGGCGATCTATAAATAAGTTTCCTCGATGTCAACTGATTCATAGAAACCTCCTCTCCCAGGGGCCACCGCAGCCTCCGCTGTGATACAGGGGCCGTCTCAGCCCCATGTACACACGTCCCAGCACAGTATGTACACCGTGGGGCGCCCGCGCGCCTTCCGCCTGGCCTCCACCAGCCACCCCAGACCGGCTTCTGGCCAAGCCCGGTTTTCCACAGGGTTGGGGGAGTAAGTGTGTACCCCCAAATTGCCTGAGTAAGCCATGCATCCCCTCTATGGGGACTTTTTATTAAAGAAGCAGTGAAGGCCACCTCTGTGCAAATCCGGGGTGGCCTCCAAGATAATCAGGCACAGAGGCCCACGGGACTTTTGTAAAGACAGCAAGTGGATGCCACCCCTTTGTGGACTGCGGTGGCCTCATACCTGCAGGACATTTGAGAGGAGGGAAGGGGAGGCCACCCTTTTGTGGATCGGGGTGGCCTCATGCCCGCGGGACTTTTGTGAGGGGGCACGGGGTGAGGGAAGCCACCCCTTTGTGCATTGGGGTGGCCTCATGCCCACGGGTCTTTTGGGAGGGGGGACAGGGTACACCACCCCTTTGAGAATTGGGTTGGCTTCATGCCCGCGTTTCTTTTGTGAGGGGCGGGACAGGAGAGGCCACTCCTCTGTGGATTGGGGTGGCCTCATGCCCATGGGCCTTTTGTGAGGGGGGAAGGAGGAGGCCACCCCTTTGCACATTGGGGTGGCCTCATGCCCGCGGGCCTTTTGTTAGCCGGGACAGGTGAGGACACCCCTTTGAGGATTGTGGTGCCCTCATGCCCGCGAAACTTTTGTGAGGGGGACAGGGTAACCTCAAGCCACAAGACTTGTGTAGTGAGCAGAGCCCCCCCTTAACAGGTGGGTGCCTACAAAATAATCGGGCACACATGCCCATGGGGACTTTTGCTAGGTAGTAGGAGAGGCCTCCCCTCTGCAGTTAGGGATCACCTCCAAAATAATTGGGTGCAACAAAAAGTAAAAAGAAAAAAATAAAGAAAAATCAAAACAATTATTGAGTCCAACAAAAAAGTAAAAAAAAAAAAAATTGGGTGCAAAGGCCCGTGGGGAAATTTCAAAAGGGAGCAGGGGAGGCCACCCCTTTGTGGATCTGGGTGGTCTCAAATAAACCACTGCTATCTCTTGGCTACACTCTAGACAGGTGTAGGTGCCCACCTGCCCAGCTGGTATCTCTGTCTGGACTTAGCCCCCATGCCGGGCCTTCAAAATGCTGCCCCACTCCACATGGTTGGGGTAGGGTGGGGGGGCACGTGGCCCCAAATTGCCTGATATAACCTAGGCCCTCTGCAGGAAGGCCTGGTAAGGATTCAATTGGTCATCAAGGAGCCCCTATGTTGTAGAAGGGAGCCCCCTAAATAACTAGTTGGATGTTTCTAGCTCCTTGTCTCTGGAAGTATGAATAGCCCAGAGATTAAGACACAGCCCTGACCTAAGAGGCTAGGGTCTGCACCTGTTTCCCCCTATTAGATAGGGGAGTTGTTGGACCCCTTTTTTAAGCCGAGGGATGAAAGGACAACTGGGAAGGAGAGCCAAAGGACGGGGGGGGATAGCCTGGGAACAGGGATGGGTTGGTGAGGGCCAGGTGGGGGCAGAGCCCCCGGCCCATGCCGGTGGCCTAGACCACCATTATCTTCACCTTGTTGTCATCAGCCTGGTAGAAGAAGGGAATACACGGCTGTTTCCAATGGTGACGCCTTCCTGGGGGTTCTGCATTTCTTGAAGCAGCTGAATGATCTGCTGCACAGAGGTGTTCTCGAGGGGAGTCAGGCCCAGCTGGGCCTCGCCCTGGGTCAGCTGCACGTTGTGGACGAGGCTCACTTCACTCCGTGCTTTAGAGAGACAGAGACAGGATGCTGTGTGCCTGGCGGAGTGTGCTCCTCCTGCCTAGATGCCCGTGCGGGGCTTTCCTCACCTTGGCCGCTGGCAGCACCAGGCTCCTTGGGGGCTAGGCATGCGCTAGTGGGCTCAGCAGCAGGGTTCTGGGCAGGTGCTTGGAGCTTCACCCGCCATTTGTTGTGCACCTCCACCAGCCACAAAACCAGCTCTTGCAGCTCTAACAGCTTCACCTGGAAGCAGAGACACTCAGAAGCCCGCCCTGCCCCCAGCTGCACCACCATGGAGCCAGAGCTCTGACTACCTTCATCTCCTCTTTGTTCTGGGCCAGCTGGCTTATGGACTCCTCCTTCTCTTGGTGCTCCTTCCTCATCACTGCTCTCTGGGTCTGGTAGAGAGCAATGTATTCTCCTAGGGGGAGGGTGTGTAGATAGCTCAGCTGCTGGGGTCTCCCCAGCCTCTGCATAGCACCCCAGCTGCAGGGCACAGGCCTCCCCACTCACCGATGGTGTCAGTCTCTCCAGACATCTGGATACATCGATGCTCCAGCTCCTCCATCCAGTCCTGTAAGTCCACTTTCTCCTGAATGAGCTCGGTAAAGTGACCCTGCAGCCAGACAGTGGGCTCAGGGGCTCAGCAGTGCTGGCCTGCCCAGCACCCAGCCCGCCCAGCCCTCCGGAGAACCACACTGTAGGGTAAGAAAAAACTATCAGGCTTTTCTGCCCTCCCGCCATTTGGATAGAAGACGGAACCCTGTGGTTCTGAATGCAAGCCTGATGCAGGCACCTGGAGTATGCTGTGGGCATAGGTAGATGGGATTCACCTGGGCTAAGATGGGCTTTTAAGGGTGGCGTCCCTGGGACGCCAGCAGAAGCAGAGAAGCGGAAGCAGAACCGAGAGAGCAGAGCAGCAGAGACCACCAGAGAACACCGGAGAGCCCAGAAAGAATGAAGACTTGCTAGGGGCTGGGAGGCCTGTCAGCCTCCCAGCCCCCCAGCACCCCTACTTGCCATGTACATGGTAAATCCCAATAAAAGCCTGCAAAAGCCACTGAGGCTTCCAGGACTCTCTTCTCCTGGACCCGGTCTGCTAGATCAGAAAACCTGCCCCGTGTCCATTCCTTTCTGCCTTACAATTGGCGTAAGTCGGCAAGGTGATCCATGCAGACGGGTATGGAGCCCTCCGAAGACCGGGAGGGACTGAGGAGCAGCAGACAGTGTCTGCCTGTGACAGCGCTGGACGTGTCATGGCGGCACAGGGGATGGAAAAGGTCCGGAAGCTGCGGGATGAGACCTCGCCTGGAGGAGGAGACGCCCGAGAGGACCAGCCAATGATCCCCGAGGCAGCAAGAATCGTCGGGAAGAAAGGACCACGATTCAGAGCTCCCCAGTGTGGACAAAGGGAAAAGCCGATGAACTTGGACTAATGGACTAACAATCCCGCCAGAAGGGGGAGGACCTTGGCAAGTTTGATATGTTTTGGGGACCCTGGGGGAGGATGGGATTGTACACCCCCAGAGATGGGAATCTGGGGGTGGCCAGTGGGCCTTGGTGGCCAAAAGCAGCCAGTGTATTGCCCAGTAGCCAGGCAGAGGAGAAAAAGCCAACTGAGAAGGCAAAAGCTGGTGCTAAGTTCGGGAAGCCCTGAGCGGCTGTTAAGCACTGTGTAAGCTAAAGAAGGCCAGTGAGTCTCTTAAAATCACCTGTGGGTGTTGCCCTGTTCATTGCTGAGTGAGGGTGAGGAGCTGAGGAACCCGTCCTTGGGGGACGGGCAGGGAACGTGGCTTGTGGTGGGGCCCTCAGCCAAAGAGGGGACCCAAGAGAGGCCGCATGTGGCGCTTGCAACCACAGATCCCCGACCCATGTGCTTGTGCAGTGGGCTGGCCTGAGGGCAGGGGCCTGCGTGTCGCATTGGTGGCTATGAAAGCCGAGTGTTGGAGCGACTGCAGACAGAAACCCTGAGGGTTGGGCGATTACCCCCAAAGAGTACAGAATCGCCAACCCAAGAGTGAGTGCATCCTGGGGGTGGATGCAGTGTGTGGCTTGTGGCCAAGACCCCAGCTGGAGGGGGCCAGGAGGCCTGAGGGCTCCTGGCCAGTGACGGCAGATGCCTGAGTGGTTCCCTCTCTCGCATGAGCAGTGCCTTCGGCAGCTGAAGTGGTGGATCATCTACTGGTGCCAACAGTCTTTTGCCCCCAGGTCGGTGCCCTGCCTGGACTTATTTGTGTTCTGTTATATTACATTGTGATATATTTCATTTGCTTTTGTGGGCCATGGCTGCAGTGTTCATATTCGCCAAGAGAAACGTGTGTATAACTCGTATAGACTGTCTGGCAGGTAAAAGTATCAGGCTTTTCTGCCCTCCCGCCATTAGGATGGATGACGAACCCTGTGGTCCCGAATGCATGCCTGATGCGGGCACCTGGAGTAGGGTGTGGGTATAGGTAGATGGGATTCACCTGGGCTAAGACTGGGCTTTTATTTATTTATTTATTTATTTATTTTAAATGAACTTTGTGAAGTCAGTCTCTTTTTTTTTTTAAAGATTTATTTATTTATTCATACAAACACTGGGTACAGTCAGAAGTGCGGGAGGGTGAGAGAATTCACCAGAGCCAGAGCGGGGAGCAGAGCAGGCAGAAGGACTGAAGTACACTGCTGAGGGGAGCAGCGGGCGGCAGGAGAGGTCCGCGCGCCATGTGGGACCCTCGCCCTGCGGCCAGGAATCAAACCGGCACCGCGGAGGCTGCGGGCAGCTTCAGAACCCAGCCCTCAACCGCTGTGCCACCGGGGAAGCCCAAGACTGGGCTTTTAAGGGCGGCGTCATGGGAATGCCAGCAGCAGCAGAGAAGCAGAAGCAGAACCGAGACAGCAGAGCAGCAGAGACCATCAGAGAACGCCGGAGAGCCCAGAAAGAGTGAAGACTTGCTGGGGGCTGGGAGGCCTGTCTGCCTCCTGACCCCCCAGCACCCCTGCCTGCCATGTACCCGGTAAATCCCAATAAAAGCCTGCAAAAGTCACTGAGGCTTCCAGGACTCACTTCTCCTGTACCTGGTCTGCTGGATCAGAAAACCTGCCCTGTGGCCATTCCTTCCTGCCTTACACACACTCACCTGCAGTTTCTCCATGGCTCCCTGAAGGGCCCTGTGGGTCTCCCCAGGCACACTCTCCCCACCATGGCCTCGCGGCTGTCTAGGTCGTCAGGGATGCTTAGCTTTGGCAGGGGGCCCTTGTTCTCTTCCTCCTCCTCCTCACTGCTCAGTCCATTTACTGTTGGGGGGCAGCCAGAGGGGCTCAAAGAACACCTGGGTTCTGAAGCAGCCCTGAGAGCCAGCAAGCTCTGCTCCCTCCTCTCTGTGCAACCCTGCGCCAGCAAGTCCCCAAAGGAGAAGGATCCAAGTTGTCCTAAGGGTGGCTTCCACTCTTGCAAACCCCTCCTCTGCTGAAGTCCCACTCACTTTCTCCAGTCCGAACCAGGAGGTTCAGTGGGGCCGACAGGAAAGAATGAGAAGGGATGCTGCTCGCAGGTCTTCCTGCTCGGGCGGCCACAGGGTGTCTGGCACTCCAATTGCCCCACCTGTGTTTCCAGCAGCTCTTGGCGGGCCAACTCGACCTCCATCTTGCCCTGCTCTTCTTCGTGCTGTATCCAGTTGACAAGCTGGGTGTTAAGCAGCACCTGCTTCTGCAGGACGTCCTTCTCGTTGGCCAGCTGCTGGTAGGCAGCCACGAGCTTCTGGTAGGCGGCCATGTACTGCTGAAGGTGACTAAGGTAGTGGTCCTGCTGCTGCTGCAGCTCCTGAGCCTCTTGATATTTCTCCTCCACCTGCAGGACGCGGGGGGGTGAGGGCAGGTGGCAGTTGGCCTCCAAATTGTCATTGGAACCCAGCTGCCTCTGCTAGACGCTACCTCAGGGAGACCAGTAGTGACCATCACTACTGACCAGTGCTGCTCAGCACTCCTGGTGACAGGGGATTGGAACCCTACTTGTACTTCTGGTGGACAGTACCTGGCTGAGGTAGACACCACTTGTGGCTACAGTAAGCTCCGTTTCCCATTTGTAAAATAAACCCCAAGGTGGTTGCTTACAGAGGCTGAAGTCTCTTGCAATTGTGCACATGGTTGAGAACCACAGTGATGAGTCCCCTACCGGGCACTATCCTTCCATCGGCTCTAACCTGTAGGCCCCTATCGTATGGGGTCTGTATTGCTCCAGCCTTTGGTTTTGACTTTGGGGCTTTTTGGCAGCTCTCTTGTCTTAGAGGCTGGGCAGGTGGGTGCGACTGCGGCCTATCCTGGCATCCCATTCATGCCCTGTGACTACCCTTTTCAGTTGGGATCCCAGGTGATGTCAGAGACACAAAGTGTTAAAACGTTCTTTGTGAGTTGCTGGACAACACCAACAACAAACAGCTCTTTCAGACACGAGGCCCGGAGCCTTTGGTGCTCCTTTCCGGTGATGTCAGACACAGGACTGGAGGCCCAGTCTCTGACAGAGGTCTTCATCCTCTCTTCCTCCCGCAGAGGTTGGCTACTGGATGCTGCTTTTCTTCTTTCAGCTTCTGGCCCTCCTTTCTTCAGAGGCCAGGAACAGAGTCTTCCCCTTCTTTCTTTGGAGGTTGGAACGGAGCCCCTCAGCTCCCTCTAACCCTGGCTTATATCACTCTTCAGGGTGTCCCAACATCAAGTCTGGTTGGACCATTTTTCTTTTTTTGTGCAGAAGAACTGGGGTATTGGCCAGAGGTGTAGAGTGAGCAGAACAGACAGACTGACTGAAACACACTGCTGAGGGGAGCAGCCGGCAAGGCAGGAGAGGTCTGCTGCGCCCTGTGGGTCAGCTCCCGGCCAGGGATCAAACTCAGGCAGCAGTGGTGATGGGTGCCGAGACTTAACCCCTAGGCCACCAGGGAGGCCCTGGACCATTTTCATCCTTGGCTGACTGGACCACTTAGCACCAATCAGCTCAGAGCTTCCACCTGATTGGTCCTGCCCATAACCCAGGAAGCGTGCAGAAAAGGGCAGTTCTGAGCAGCAACTGTCTCAACGGACTTGTGGTGGAGCAACAGAGTGGAGACCACCGAGGCAACTCCCAGATCTGCACCCACAAATGGGGGGGGGACAGGCACTGTGGGACTTTGCCACCTGCCCAGGCCCCTTCCTTCAACTGCAGCAGAACTGCTTTCCAGTGCTCTCTGAAGTGAAGAATGTTGAGGCTCAGCCCTGTTCAGTGAAGCGCAACCCCGGAGCCAAGTCTGGAAAAAGGATGTCTCCACGTCTCCTTGTCTCTGCCTTAGTGGCTCAACCTCCAGCGGGGCAGGTGACCTGCAGTCCCGGGGAACCCACCACTCCATGTCAGACCCTGGGCACAGGTGGTCACGGACCTGGCAGGACTGCAGGGTAACCAGTGCCTCCCAGCCCTGAGTTGGAGCTACCTCTGTGGCCTAAAAACCTCCCTCCCGGAGGCCTCTGAGACCTTCCCAGCTGGCACAGGACTTACCAGCTCCTTTAGCTCTGTCAGCTTCTCCTGCAGCTGGCCGAGTTTCGTGGCCAGCTCGCTCTTGGTGTGCTGCTCCATTTGGAGCGTGCCGGTCACCTCCATGTTCTGATGGGACTGGACAGACAGAAGAAACAATGAGATGCCACCCAATGCAGCTGGAGACCCAGAGCTTGGTGTCCCCTCCCACATCAGGATGAGGTCATCTTCCAGCCCAGGGCACCCCAGGCACCTTACCTTCTTGCCAAGCGCTCTCTGGGCTCCGGATCCTGATCATCTCCTGCACCCACCCTCTGCCCGGGACTCCCACGTCACCTACACATCAGTCTGAAAGGCCACCCCCTCCAGCCTCCAGACCCTTCAGAGCCAACTGCTCCTTCAGTTGCCACATCCCACCTTGCCGCCTAGCAAAGTGTCTGCTGCCAAGGGCCCATGGGAGATGGTAAGTGTCCAGTTGATTTTTAAAAGACAGTGGGGGAGGATGTCCCAGTCACTCATCTCTGGTGAACCTCAGGTACTTTGCAGTTCTGCTACAAAACTCACCTGAACCCTTGTACCTGTAACAAAAGCCCCCTTTCTCCTAAGCCTGCATTTCCCACTCCCAAGCTAAAATTGAATTCATCACTTTGAAAAATCAACCACTATGTGCATTGTTGGTCTTTGGGGGACATGCCCCTCTAGAGGGCAAGCCCTGTGTGTGTGTGTGTGTGGGGTGGGGGGGGAGTTATTGACACTCTCCCGGTAGTACGGGCCACTGAGCATTCACCCTGGAGGCTTGGAAGGCCCAAATCTTTCACACTGCTCTGGAAGCTCTTCCCAAATGACCTTTCACCCTTCACGGTGTATTCTATCTTCTCCAAGATGATAAAGATGTGCGGGAAGGAAAACAACAACCAACCAAGCATTTGAAATAGCAGACATGGACACACCGAGGGTTAATGATGGGAACATAAAATCAGCCAGAGGCCAAGTACCCCAACCAGACAAGCCTCGGGCATGCACGCTGGGAGAGGGCAAGCCAGGGAGGGGGTCTTGGCACGGCCTCACCTTCCTCCTGTCAAATGGGGGGAGCGCTACCCCATTGGAGTGGTTAAGGTCGGACACAGCACCTGCAGAATGTCCTGAATCTACAGGAGGTGAAAAGAGAAAAACAAGGGCAAGGGGAGGAAGAGAAAAGTGACTTAGAGAAGAAAAGAAGGTCAGAGAAAGAAAAAGAGCAGCTCTGGACAATGGATGCCGGAGACAAGGGTGACGGATCCATACCACGGCCTGTGCCATCTTTCCAAACGGCCACTCTCCGCCTCGCCTGAGGCAGAAAGCAATGTGAACCAAGAGATGGATCAAAGCTACCAAATCAGGCTGGAAGACACTGATCTGGCCCAACAATATCATCTTCCAGGTGAGGAACCTGAGACCCAGGAAAGATGTGATTTTCCCTGTGATCATCTAGCAAGCAGGTGGCAGAAACGGACTCCCACCTCAGAGGTCGCCTAATCCCAAGCACCCGGGGCTCATCTTTGCCGCCCTAAAGGGAGAGGGTGTCCTCACTGACTGGCTTCCCCTTGAGGCTGGGGATGAGAGAAATTGCCAGAGCAAGAAGTCCATAGCGACGCCCTGTACTGAAGGCTCACTGAGCACCAGGCCCCGCACAAAGGGATGAATGCACAATCATCTCATGGATGCTGCCAAGATTTAAATAGAACTGTAGCACCCTGACTCACAGGTGGACAAAGAACTTAAACAGTGTCACCCCAAATCAGATCCCCAGCAGAGCTACTGAGAGGCCGCACTCAGAGCCAGGATTCTTACCCACTTCTTTCATGCTCTTAAACGCTCACTCAGCTGCCCTGGAGCACTCCCTCCCAGGAAGCCTGGCAGAGCAAGACTTACATCTTTTGATGACTCACAACCACCAGAAGCCTTGTCTCTGGCCTATTGCCAAGTGTCTTCTTTTTTTTTCTTAACTCCTGCAGGAGACCCCAAGCTGTTTTCCTTTGGTAGTCTCTCAACTGCAGAGTCTCTCAACTCTCAAAGAGAGTTGAGGCTCACGAGAACTGCAAGCCCCTGTACTCACACCCCACTTTACATGTTAGATTTGCCACCTGACTTCATGCCACCAGAACTCTACCAGGTGCTGTGGGTAGTACCACGCCCCTCCAATGATGATGAAATGGACTGATAACATGGTTTAAAGAAAAAATGTTTAGGAATTTACACTTAGTCTTCAGACTCGAACTTCCAGGATGCCATGAATCAGTAGCTGCCAGCGGGCAAAGCCAGCGCGGGGTGGAAAAGCAAGCATGTGAGTACTCAGACATCAGGGCCCTTTCTTATACATGTTACCCATTAACAGCGCTGCTCAAGCTCCTGCACCAATGGATGCTGATGGCAGGAGGCAGTGAGGGGACAGCCAGGGGCACAGCCAGGCACATTTCAGAGCAATCTGTTACAATCTCACTTATGTACGCATATGTACATTAATACAGAAGGCTTTTTTTCTCAAGAGAATGAAGCAGAATTGATGCTTCAGTCGCCTGTTTATCCTGTGGCGTGCTGAGCAACCCATGTTGAGACGACTGGGGGAAGATTCCCAACTGGGAAGGTCAGTTTGCTGGGATCTGATCCACAGAGGGTAAACAGATCACTCCAAAGAGCACTGATTGGGGGCACTCTGGCACCTGTGTCATAAGGAATTAGAATGTGAGATGGAGAAGTCAGACAAAAATTGGAAAGTCTCTGTGGAGAAGTAGAAACTCTGGAGAAAACCAAACTAAATATTTCTTCCCAGTGTCACCCAGAGCGGTTGTCAATGCTTCAAGTTTACTAGGGAAGCGTAGGCTTTGTAGGCGCTCAGTGTTTAAAGGTGGGGTACAGTACAGAGCAAGCGAGCCTGAACCCTCTCCCAGAACACCCATAAGTATGAGCTGCCCATAATGACTAATCTCAAAAGACAATGGTAACTAAAGAAATGAAACAAAGGCTTTGCAGGAAGAAAGCTGGGAGACTCTACCTTAGCCTGGTGTTGAAGGTGAACACCCTCAGTGATCAGTCAGGGGGGCATGACTGCGTGGTGACTGACATGACTGATGTGTTGAGTGGACAGTGGCCTGCATCTCTGTGGTCTGCTTTCCCAAGCCACAGTCCCAGTCAAAGAAAAAAAACAAAAAACAAAAAACACTAAGTTGAGGGACAATGTTCCTGAGCAGTGCTCCTTGATAGAGGCTAAGAGTAGAAAATTGAGGATGGAGGGGTCACAAGACCAGAAAGTGGAGGTGGGGGTAGAAGGGATTAACATAGTAATTAAACCCGGTATAGAAAGGAATGATGCTTAGGGCAGCTGCTCGAGGGAGCACCAACTGCTCTGGAAAAGACCCAGAGGCGCAGACCAGAGGTGGGATGTGGGGATGGAGCCATTGCAAAGATTCACGCGTCCTTACAAATGAACCAAATGAAACTTGTCACCCCATAGAAGTAATTAATTTAACGAAAGATGACAATTGCAGAAAGGAAGGAGCCCTCCCAACTAGAACACTACCTCAGGGCCCTTTCTGCCCTGGGAAGACTCAGCTCTGCTCCAAAGGCTCTGCCTGGGGCCTGCAGGCTTCTCCTCACACACCCGCTCTCTCCAGGGGCAGCTCCTCCTGCCTGCTGGTGTCTGCCCAGGCAGCTACTTCTTCTTTCCCTTTTTTTTTAAACTTTATTTTTCAAACAATATTTGCTTCCCCCCATCCCTTCAGTTTGAGTCTCCATAGAATTTCCTTCCCCAAGGCACCTGTGCACCATCACCACAGTCCCCTGTGCACCTCCCTCCTTCCCTCTGATGCCTCTCCCTCCTCCTCTCCTGCAGGATGTCTCTATAATTGTTTTTGTTTTGTTGTCTTTTGTATTGCTATTATTTTTTTACACTGATATCTTATTAGGCTCTCCCATATTCCTGTTATAAGTAAAACCATCCAATATTTTTCTTTTTCCTTCTGGCTTATTTCACTGAGCATAATTCCTTCTAGCTCCATCCACATTGCTGCAAATGGCATGAATTTATCTTTTTTTTTGATTGCTGAATAATATTCCATTGTGTATATATACCACATCTTCTTGATCCAGTCATCTGTTTTTGGGCATTTGGGTTGTTTCTGGTTTTACCCATTGTAAATAGTGCTGCAATAAACATAGGCGTACAGGTGTTCTTTTGAATCAATGTTTTTGTTTCCTTTGGGTAGATTCCTTGGTAGTGGAATTTCTGGGTTGTATGGTAGCTCCATTTTTAGTAGACTGAGGAAACTCCAGACAGCTTTCCATAGTGGCTGGACCAGTTTGCACTCCACCAGCAGTGTAGGAGAGTTCCTTTTTCACCACATCCTCGCCAACAGATGTTGTTGCTTGTTTTTTTCATATGTGCCATTCTTACTGGTGTAAGGTGGTATCTCAGTGTGGTTTTGATTTGCATTTCCCTGATTATAAGGGATGTTGAATGTTTTTCATGTGCCTGTTGGCCATTTGCATTTCCTCTTTGCAGAAATGTCTTTTAAGTTCTTCTGCCTATTTCTTGACCGGATTGTTTATTTTGTTTTTATTGAGCCATGTGAGTTCTTTGTATAAATTTGTAATCAGTCCCTTAACAGTTGAATGGAGTGCAAAGATGTTTTCCCAATCACTGGGGTGTCTCCCTATTTTGGTTAATGTCTCTTTGGCTGTACAGAAGCTTTTCAGTTTGATGTAATCCCAGGTGTTTGTCTTCACTATGACTGCTTTGAGTGATGAGTCTTTAAAGATATTTCTGAGATGTATGTCTTATAGTGTTTTACCTATATTTTCTTCTATATATTTTATGGTTTCAGATATCATATCCAGTTCTTTTATCCATTTTGAGTTGATTTTTGTGCAGAGTGAGAGGTAGTGGTCTAGTTTCATTTTTTTACATGTGGAGGTCCAGTTTTTCCAGCACCATTTATTGAACAAACTGTCCGTGTTCCATCGCATATTCTTTGCTCTTTTGTCAAAGATTAGTTGTTCATAAAAGTGTGGCTTTATTTCTGGGTTTTCTATTCGGTTCCATTGGTCTATGTGTCTGTTTTTGTTCCAATACCAAACTGTTTTAATTATTATGGCTTTGTAGTATAGCTTGAAGTTTGGAAGTGTGATACCTCCTTTCTCCTTTGTTTTCATCAGTAG